TGATGACAGCATTGCTGCCCCGTCTCCACGGCTGGGGTCCAGAGAGGTCACCGTGAAAAGAACAAAAAGTCACAGCAAAGGGCAGAGAGAACCCATTTAACCATCAGCTATTGCTCAACACGACACGGGCTATCTAGACCACTCGGCACTTCCAGGCAGCAGTGGGGTAAGAACTCACGTCCTCCTGTTCTAAAACCAGAGTGTGTTTCTACTTGAGCTAAAGGCAAATCCTCACTCGCCAGCTCGGGTCTTTAATGCACCCGTAAGCAGCCCTATTCTCTCCAGTAGAGGGCAGTGGTGTATATACAGCCTAACCAGCTCATCATCCTGTTATTGTTATTGTCATTGCCATGTTGCAGATGAGGGAATGCAGGCAGATGGGAGAAATGACTTCCAGAGGGAGCTGGAATCCGCCTTAGAATTCGCACTCAGGACTTCCTGGCTCCTTGCCCTGGGCTCAGACCATGTGGCCTTTCTCATATACACCAGGACATCACTGCTCACTCTCTGAAGGCTGGGCACAGATGGGAACTACCCTGAGAACAGAGGTCAGCAGGGTTCCATGGCTTTTGGGCCCCACACGACAAGAAGGATGTGGAAAAATTGGAAAGCGTCCAACGGAGGGCAACAAAAATGATTAGGGGACTGGAACACATGAGTTATGAGGAGAGGCTGAGGGAACTGGGATTGTTTAGTCTGCAGAAGAGAAGAATGAGGGGGGATTTGATAGCTGCTTTCAACTACCTGAAAGGGGGTTCCAAAGAGGATGGATCTAGACTGTTCTCAGTGGTAGCTGATGACAGAACAAGGAGTAATGGTCTCAAGTTGCAGTGGGGGAGGTTCAGGTTGGATGTTAGGAAAAACTTTCTCACTAGGAGGGTGGTGAAACACTGGAATGCGTTACCTAGGGAGGTGGTGGAATCTCCTTCCTTAGATATTTTTAAGGTCAGGCTTGACAAAGCCCTGGCTGGGATGATTTAATTGGGGATTGGTCCTGCTTTGAGCAGGGGGTTGGACTAGATGACCTCCTGAGGTCCCTTCCAACCCTGATATTCTATGATTCTGTACTGTCCCCTACCATATAGCTTGGCAGCATGATCTAGCACAGGGCTTGCTGCTCCCCTGCTAATGGTCACGATCCATGTCAGGTTCAAGTCTTTGGAAATGTTTTCTATTGATTTTAAACTTTCTGAACAGCGCACGTCTCCCTGCACCCCTGGTTTTCTGACTGTACGGAGTTGGCGGGAGAGATGTGGTATCAGAATGACTTTTTGATCGGTACTAACAACTCTGACTCCCATTATAAAACAAAGGTTCTGTCCATTCACGGCCAGTGAAGCACTTTTCCTAGGAGCAAAGGTGTTAACCCTGGTGTCACACCCAATACCAACCTGCGTAATTACATCTCGATGCCCTGATTGCTCTTCTGCAGTTTCTTTTGGAGATGGGCTCCTCCTTCATTTCCTGACCCAAAATGCTGTGTAGCCCTGGTGCAGGCTGTTAAACGGCTGCCGTGCTCCACTCCAGAGATGGCTGCATTTTTGCAAAGTTCTGTATTTCTAAAGCATTTATGTGGGGCCATATCCCTCCCCCTGCCCCCAGCAGGGTATTTGCACAGTGCTGCCCACGCTGTGCAAAGTATTATCGGGGCTGTCAAAGTGCTAGGCCCTTCAAGGCCCATTTCTGCGGTCAAGGGGACCTGTGAGACCCAAGGCTGAAGAGTCTGAAGCAGCCCGTCCTTCTGGAACCACAGCTGCTGCCACCGCTGTGTGATTCCACAACTTGGTTTGATTTCCATAGCAGGAGTCCATGTTGTGACATTGTGGCTTGTAACAAGCTCTGGCTATAAGGTGGCTCCTATTCGCCTCGGCCCCGATCCACAAAGGGAGTTAGGCTCAGTGGAAGTTAGGAGCCTAAATAGCTTTGGATCTGGGCCCTCCTGCCGTTTCTTTTCCAACTCTGCTGAAGTCCTTTATAAACTTCTTTATAAGATTGCAGATTACGTAGCGATGGTTTAGAAGGGCAGCATGACCGGGGCATGGCACTTGGGGTCTAGTGCTGGCTCTGCCACTGACTTCCTGTGTCATCTTGGGGGGGGTGCTCTCTGCCTCAGTTTCCCCCTCTGTACATTGGGGATAATGATATTGACCTTCCTTTATAAGAGCTTAGCTACACAAGGAAGTTACTCTGAAATAAGGTAGGGCGTGAATTTAAAGTGCTAGAGTTATTTCAGAATAAGTGTCCATAGAGGGTGCTTCTCTGGTCCATTTCCCCGTGTAGCTAAGCCCTTCAAAAGAAGGGTTATTACTCCTCTTCCCCTGCTGTTGTCTTCATGCCTGTCTCATGCTGTCCCTTGTGGTCGGGGCCCCCTTCCCCTTTTTATACCCCAAGCAACCCCTGCTTTCATTATTCAAATCCCTCCTTGAATCTCACTTCTCCTGTGGCTCTTTTCAAAGTTAAACCACCAAGTACAGCATTAAAAGACACAACACAGCCATAAAGAGCTGCTTTCGCTTTGGGCCTTCAGCATGTGTATCCTATAAAGCAGATTGCTGCCATCTGTATTTGATTTAGACTCTGAACTCCAGGGGCAGAGAGTGCCTGAGTACAGAGCCGAGCATAAAGTCATTGCTTATCATAACCCAAGGAGAGGAAGGAACAGCTGGTGGTTAAGGCTCAGGGCTGTGGGTTCAACTCCTTGTTTTTCCACTTCCACAGACTCCCTGTGTGACTTGAGGAAGTCGCTTGATCAAAGTGAGCTGTAGCTCATGAAAGCTTATGCTCATATAAACTGGTTAGTCTCTAAGGTGCCACAAGTCCTCCTTTTCTTTTTGCGAATACAGACTAACACGGCTGCTACTCTGAAACTTGAGCTGTCTGTGCCTCACTTCCCTCGCTATGAAATGGGGCAATAGTCCTCCCTTTCTCACATTCCCCTGTCTTCTCTAGAAAGCTTGCAAACTCTTTGGGGGCAGGGACTCCCTCACTAGGACCCCCCCCCCCCACGTGCAAAGGGTCACTTTTTCTCACAGCGAGTACAGTATGAACACCTCAGGAACGAAGGTTGTCCGAACAAAACACGGGGGTTGTTCGTTCAAAAGCTGACACTGAACGTTGACAGTACAGCTTTGAAATGTTACTGTGCAGAAGAAAAATGCTGCTCTTAACCATCTTGATTTAAAGGAAGCAAGCACAGAAACAGGTTCGTTGCCTTGTCAAATTTTTTTTTTTTAAACTGTCCCTCTATGTTTTTAGTATTGTATGTTTAACACAGTACTTTGCTGTATGGTATTTGCATTTTTGGGGTCTCTGCTGCTGCCTGACTGTGTACTTCACAGAATCATAGACTATCAGGGTTGGAAGTGACCTCAGCAGGTCATCTAGTCCTATCCCCTGCTCAAAGCAGGACCAATCTCCAATTTTTGCCCCAGATCCCTAAATGGCCCCCTCAAGGATTGAACTCACAACCCTGGGTTTAGCAGGCCAATGCTCAAACCACTGAGCTATCCCTCCCCACAAAGGTTTCAAAGGAGGTGTGTGGTTGACCGGTCATACCTCTGGTGTTTGTACCTCTGAGGTTCTACTGTATTGTTGACTTCTATGGGGCTACTCGCAGTGTATGACAGAGGTGGGCAAACTACGGCCCGTGAAATCATCCTGCCCAGCCCTTGAGGTCCCGGCTGGGGAGGCTAGCCCCCAGCCCCTCCCCTGCTTCCCCACAGCCAAGCTGCTGTGCCAGGGGGAGGGTTGGGTAAGGGACAGGGGGTTCCAGGGAGCAGTCAGGGGACAGGGAGCAGGGGATGGTTGGATGGGGTGGAGGTTCTAGGGGTGGTGGTCAGGGGATGGGGAACAGGGGGGATTGGATAGGCGTGGGAGTCCTAGGGGGCCTGTCAGGGGGCGGGGTGTGGATAGGGGTCAGGGCACTCAGGGAGCAGGAGGGGTTGGATAGGGAGTGGGGTCCCGGGTGTCCCAGGAGGGGGAAGTCAGGGGGGATTGGATGGGTCAGAGGTTCTGAGGGGGGCAGTCAGGGGCGGGAAGTGGGAAGGGGCAGCTAGGGGGTGGGGGCACAGCCTTCTGTACCCGGCCCGGCCCTCCATACAGTTTCAGAATCCCGATGTGGCCCTTGCCCATCCCCGATGTATGAAGTTAAGCGTGTGTGTAACTAAGCCTTTGCAGGCTTCAGGCCTGTGTGTACGGATGGGACCCTGATTGCAGCTGGAGCAAGGGGGCACTACCCCAAGACAAACAATCATAAAAATGTGGAAAAGAGCCTTAGAGAAAGAGTCATACTACAGTGTTACAGCACTGCAAATTACTCCAGGACCTGGCCAGCAATCTCTCGGATCAGTGACTAAGCCCTGTCATATGCAACATAATGTGAGAAGTCCATGACAGCCTCCCTAGTGCCTGACCTGGGCTGTTTCTTTTCCCACACTCAGAAGAGTGTAGCACGCTTTGTCTTTGAAGGGAGGAGTCAAAAGGGTTTTCTCTCTGGAGTCTGGCTTCTTTCATCTGGTCCTGGGTTACTGCTCTACCCTCCTGGCCCCTCACCCAACTTTATCTGCTTAACATCAGTGGAGATCAAAAGCTTTAAGGCAACGTTTTGCGGGGCGGAAGGGAGACATTTGACTGGGGGAGAGAAAGGGTTCTAGCTTCTTCCTACAGGAAGGGCAGGCGATAATGGGGATTCTGCTGCACATAAGGATCCTAATGACTGATCATTAGCAGACGCTTAGAGAGGCAAGCAGCATCTTTCACTGGGCAGGGAGTGCGTGACACCTGTACAAGACAGGAAAAGCAAAGATAACAGCCACTGCTCCAGGCCCCTCATGAGAAAAGCAGCCTCAGTTTGCACTGGGGCGGGGGGGAACGACCCAGGCGGGGAATTGGATGCACTTTGCCTTTAACAGGCTCTTGGCCAAAACTCCGAGCTTGCAGGCATATATGCATTGGCTGTGTAACAATATCCCCACGTGATTGCACTGAAAGCCTCTGCAGGGAGGGAGGGAGCGAGCAGGAGAGAGAAACTTACGAGAGCGCTCCTGGGCGTCTCTAGTCAATTGCGCCGAGAGCGCAGCAGCTGCGATGTGAAATTGACCAAAGTGGTGCAAGACGCTCTCGCTCTGCCCGTCCCTTCCCCCTGTTCTGCCCCTGGGTCCTCCTCTCCCGTCCCCTTTGCCATTGGATGACTTTCCAGACGCCCCCCGTCGCAGGGCAACATCCCCCAACATGCCTGAGCAGATCACCGTCTCGGAGTTCCTGGCGGTGACTTCGGAAGACCTGAGCTCCCCGGCGGCTTCTACCTTCTCCTCCAAAATGCAGAAGTGCCGGGGGGCGGTGGCGGTGCTGGAAGAGGTGAGTGAGGGGCAGCGGGAGAGGAGGGGGAGGGCGGGGGCAGCGGTGTCCTGCCGGGGTTCTCTCCCTTGAAACTGGGAATTAGGTGCTTCGCCCACCTTTCGCTGGGAAGGGGCGTCTCCCTTTTGTTTTGTGGTAGGTCTTGTTACTGCAGGAGGCAGCTTGGATCTGTTCCTCGTGCCTCGCCCCCCCCGACCCTTTTCTTGCCATCTTTCCTGAAATCAGACAGGATTTCTCGTCAAGAGAAGGCGCTTTGCACCTCTCCTGCAAAGGGCGGAAGAGTCTGTTAGGATCTTGCTAAGTTGTTGAACGACCTGGCCATCTGAGTAAGTTTCATGCCTCTCAGCGTGTCGCCGACCCCGGCTGTTCATTTCCTTACTCTGGGTGCGGAAACTCTTCCCTTAGCTGGGAGCCCAGCCGGCTTGGGAAAGATGCTCTTGGTCGAAAAACAAAACTCCGCACTTACAATGAACGCCTTTCCTTAGCTTGACCACCACCAACGCCTTCGACTATTGGAAAGTAACTAACTAACTGTCTATTTCTGTTTTCACTGTTTATGCCGCGGGGGGGGGGGGAAGGGGGGTTTGTACCTCCAATTTGGACAATGGAAAATGAACCCTCTGTATAACAGCAGCTCATAGAGACTCCAACCGCCCTCTTTTCGCGGGCATACTGTACATAAGTCTAAAAAGACACTGTGCCCTCTCTGAAGAGCGTATACAAGGCCCCGATCCTGCAAAACGCTTGTGCACGTGCTGAACTGTAGGCTTGCGAGTAATCCCATTGATTTTCAGCGGAGCTGTTTATACGTTCAAAGTGGGTTGACGCAGTTCAGGCCGAAATAGGCAAAATCAGGGAAGTATCTTCTGTTTATAGTCAGTTTCACTTTCGGGTTCCTCCTGCCATAAAGTGTGGGGTTTGTGGTGTCTGCCTGTTTTGAAAGTATCATTTGCCTGGGAATTTTAAGAAAGAAAATCACAGAAATGTTTCAGATCCTGCTAGGTTTTTTTGTAAAAGCTTTTTTCTACCAAATCACAGTTCTGGGGCGGAATTTGAATTGATATTGTGTCTTTCGGGTTATTAAGAACCAGATAGTATTCTGCTACAATAACAATTCCAACTGCTGGAAGCTGCGGCGTTTTGCACAATCTCCGTGAATACTGGAGTGTCTATATTTTGAATAAGGGCAGTTTGCAGCTGGTCCTGTGTATTTTGCTGAGTCCTTATGGCAGAAGGAATGGACTTTTTTTGCCTCTGTCTTCACGAACAAGGTCAGCTCCCAGACTGCTGTGCTGGGCATCACAACATGGGGAAGAGATGGCCAGCCCTCTGTGGAGAAAGAGGTGGTTAGGGAATATTTAGAAAAGCTGGACGTGCACAAGTCCATGGGGCCGGACAAGTTGCATCCGAGAGTGCTAAAGGAATTGGCGGCTGTGATTGCAGAGCCATTGGCCATTATCTTTGAAAACTCGTGGCGAACGGGGGAAGTCCCGGATGACTGGAAAAAGGCTAATGTAGTGCCAATCTTTAAAAAAGGGAAGAAGGAGGATCCTGGGAACTACAGGCCAGTCAGCCTCATCTCAGTCCCTGGAAAAATCATGGAGTAGGTCCTCAAAGAATCAATCCTGAAGCACTTACATGAGAGGAAAGTGATCAGGAACAGTCAGCATGGATTCACCAAGGGAAGGTCATGCCTGACTAATCTAATCGCCTTCTATGATGAGATTACTGGTTCTGTGGATGAAGGGAAAGCAGTGGATGTATTGTATCTTGACTTAGCAAAGCTTTTGACACGGTCTCCCACAGTATTCTTGTCAGCAAGTTAAGGAAGTATGGGCTGGATGAATGCACTATAAGGTGAGTAGAAAGTTGGCTAGATTGTTGGGCTCAACGGGTAGTGATCAATGGCTCCATGTCTAGTTGGCAGCCGGTGTCAAGTGGAGTGCCCCAGGGGTCGGTCCTGGGGCCGGTTTTGTTCAATATCTTCATAAACGATCTGGAGGATGGTGTGGATTGCACTCTCAGCAAATTTGTGGATGATACTAAACTGGGAGGAGTGGTAGATACGCTGGAGGGGAGGGATAGGATACAGAGGGACCTAGACAAATTGGAGGATTGGGCCAAAAGAAATCTGATGAGGTTCAATAAGGATAAGTGCAGGGTCCTGCACTTAGGACGGAAGAACCCAATGCACAGCTACAGACTAGGGACCGAATGGCTAGGCAGCAGTTCTGCAGAAAAGGACCTAGGGGTGACAGTGGACGAGAAGCTGGATATGAGTCAGCAGTGTACCCTTGTTGCCAAGAAGGCCAATGGCATTTTGGGATGTATATTTAGGGACATAGCGAGCAGATCGAGGGACGTGATCGTCCCCCTCTATTCGACATTGGTGAGGCCTCATCTGGAGTACTGTGTCCAGTTTTGGGCCCCACACTACAAGAAGGATGTGGATAAATTGGAGAGAGTCCAGCGAAGGGCAACAAAAATGATTAGGGGTCTGGAACACATGAGTTATGAGGAGAGGCTGAGGGAACTGGGATTGTTTAGTCTGCAGAAGAGAAGAATGAGGGGGGATTTGATAGCTGCTTTCAACTACCTGAGAGGTACTTCCAGAGAGGATGGTTCTAGACTATTCTCGGTGGTGGAAGAGGACAGGACAAGGAGTAATGGTCTCAAGTTGCAGTGGGGGAGGTTTAGGTTGGATATTAGGAAAAACTTTTTCACTAGGAGGGTGGTGAAACACTGGAATGCGTTGCCTAGGGAGGTGGTGGAATCTCCTTCCTTAGAAGTTTTTAAGGTCAGGCTTGACAAAGCCCTGGCTGGGATGATTTAATTGGGGATGGGTCCTGCTTTTGAGCAGGGGGTTGGACTAGATGACCTCCTGAGGTCCCTTCCAACCCTGATATTCTATGATTCTATGACTTGAGGAACTGGGGCTAGATCCTGCAACTAGGTCAGTGTAGGGCTTGCTCCAGTTGCAGATGCTGGATCCTATCCCTCCTTCTCTTAAACAAACCCTCTTCCTCCCTCCATATGATGAGGCCAGACCTATTGCATCTATGAAACTCGGATGGTGATCTTATGGCTGACAGATCAGTGGTGTCTCGCACATCAGCAATGTAGGGTGTTGACTCCATGACTATCTGCTGTCCAGGGAGGGGTCACGGGAAAGGTGGGAGCAAGGTCCCACTTTAGGGCTTCGGTGAAGCTTTTGAGTATGTCTATGCTGCTGCTGGGAAGGTGCCCCCAAGCTCGGGCAGACAGGCCTCCTAGGCTAGCTCCAGCTAGTGTGCTAAAAATAGCAGTGTAGCAGGGGGTGAGGGGCAGCATGGGCGGAGGCTCAGGCTGGCAACCCAAGTGCATTCCCAGAGGGTATGGGTGAGTTTGTGTTCAGGTGGGTGGCCCGAGCTGGTGTCCATGCTACCCCAACTATGCTGCTATCACGGAAGCTTGCGCAGACCTCCTGCGTGTCTGCCTAGCCGAGCCAGGGAGCACGCTCCCAGCTGCCATGTAGACATACCCTTTGTGGGCACTGGTACAGTCTGGCTTCTCTAACAGCTGCTTCTGAAGGACCCCCCAGCTCTTCCTTTGAGGCCTGAGCTGACTCCCATTAAAGTCAATGGAAAGACTGTCATTGACTTCAACAGGACTTGGATCAAGCCCTGCGGTGAGAAGGGGACCCCGTTTCCCTGCCAGGTCTTGGTGGTATAAGTGACACCGGGGAGGCTGAGATGGATGCTGCCACGTGGCTTGGTCTGGCAAGGGGGCATTGAATGGCCGTTTTCCTTCATCTTGCTTCTTCAAGTCCTGTTACTTTCAGGGACGATATCTTAGGTATATGGTGCCTTTTTCCCACAAGTGCTTTAACAATCTTTATGGGGGTGGGGCTGTGTGTAGAGTCATTGAGTTCGTGGATTGTAAGCTCTCTGGGGTGGGGACCGTCAGTTTGGTGTTTGTACAGTACCTAGCCCAGTGATGACCAGGGTTCCTAGGCGCTGCTGGGTTACCAATCAACACAGTGCTGGTGGGTGAAGAAGCCATGGATTGTCCATGAATTCATACTTCTAAAAAAAATATTTATACCGAATGTATGGCTCATTCCTCTGCCAGTGGAATGCGGCAGGACTGTTTCATACCGATCCTTAGGAAGAGGGAAGTGAAGAATGCTTTTTTCCCAGTTGGAATAGCTGGGAGGAAATTTAAAGAGTTGGAATAAAATGATGCAAATCTGGCCAGGATGCTAGAGTTCTTCCCCCACTCCCCCCCCCCATCTTACAAGCAAAAAACCAACTCCATTAACTTGTGATAAAATTTAAAATCACTCACTAGAAAAATAAAGTCAACAGTCGCTGATCTGTGCTAGTGAAGAATGGGAGCAGCTGTCAATGTTGAGTAACAGTCACACAGATGCCCCCCGTGCCAGATCCCCTATGGCTCCTTGTGAGAATCCCAACCTCTGTTCTAGCACGTGTGTGGCTGCAGACACAGGGTCTGGCATTGAGAGCTGTGATCAATAGCTCGATGTCCTATGTACAGTCTGTTCAATTCCTCACACATCCCCTGCCCCAAGCCTGTTCTGAGACTTTATTTAGGGGGTGATGCCCCCCTGTACTGTGACTAGCTCGTCACACACTGGGCCAGGAGAAAGCTCTCTAACTAATAGTGCAATACATTCTAGGTCAGTAAATCTGCTTCTCATCTCTTCTCCCTCCCGCAGCTGGCCAGAGGCTGCCTTGGGGCAGTGATATGCTGCCAATATTTTAACAAGGGAATCCCACAAGATGATTCTCCCCCAACCCTGCCATTAGCTGGTGATAAACTCCATGTCCCAGGGGCGCGTGTGCTGCGGAGAAGGGAGGGTAAAGAAGCTGGGAGTCCAGTTAGACAAAAATGCTTTCGTTCCCCATAAGCAAGTAGGAAGACAGCCGCAATGGGCTTTGATGCTGCAATCGTTTGAATATGTGACTGAGTTCAGTGGGACACGTTGCATGTTACTTGCC